ACAAAAAAAAAGAGAGAGATAGAGAGATAGAGAGAGAGAGAGAGAGAGAGAAAAAAAAAACAAGAGAGAGAAAAATAGAGAAAGAGAGAATGAGAGAAATAGAGAAAGAGAGAAAGAGAGAAAGAGAGAAAGAGAGAATGAGAGAATGAGAGAATGAGAGAATGAGAGAATGAGAGAATGAGAGAATGAGAGAATGAGAGAGAGAGAGAGGGAGAGAGGGAGAGAGGGAGGGAGGGAGGGAGGGAGGGAGGGAGAGAGAGAGAGAGAGAGAGAGAGAGAGAGAGAGAGAGAGAGAGAGAGGGAGAGAGAGGCAGAGACAGAGACAGAGACAGAGAGAGAGGGATAACGGAGGAGCGAAACGGAGTCGGAATGAGAGCGTATTCTTTTCGTTCGAAGGTTTTGAAGGCCGAAAGGCCGCCATGCCCATCCAGTCTGGAGCTGATGTGGACTGGCATATCCTCTTCGTGGGTTGCGGATTCTCGGTGCGAGGGCGAAGCTTTTGGGCGCGTGGTCAACGACGTGGAATTGGGCACGCGCGTCCGAGCGCCGCCTGTGCGCGAGTGCTGGGGCGACATCGCCCGACGGAGAAAGGCGGCGCGCTGGCGCTGGGAGAAGAAGGGACACATCAACCTGCTGGAGATGCGCGCCGGAGTGGCAGCGGCGAGGCATTCAGCTCGCAATCGGGCGAGCTGGGGGAAGAGGCACTTGCGGATCACGGACTCGATGGTCTGCCTTGGCGGCTTCAGCAAGGGCAGGTCCTCGAGTCGTCCGATCCTGATCCTCTGCCGCGGGATGGCTGCCCTCGACCTCGGCCGCGGCGCGCGCGAGTGCTGGCGCCGGGCGCCTTCCGATCGCAACCGCAGCGATGGTCCGAGCTGGGGCCCCCCTATTGGCCAGGCCCCGAAGGAGCGGGAGACGGACCAGCAGGTGATGCCAGAGGAGGTGGCGTTGAAGATCGAGGCGCTGGCCGACGTCGCGGAGTTGGATCCCTTCCAGCCGCTCAGGACGGGGGCCTCGGTTCCGGTGAAGGCGCTGCGCCCCGCCCACCTCTGCAGCGGGCGCGCGCGGGCGGGGGCCTGGAGGACTGGCTGCTCAGGGTCGCGCCGCCGCGGGGCCACCTGCTGCTCTGCGCCGGAAGTTCGACCTAACAGACGTGGTCAACGTGGGGGGGCTGGAGCTGCTGGCGGAGATGGAGACAGACGGTGGGCATTCTGCCCCCTCTTGCCTTACCTGGTCGCGAGTGCGATCCTTGCCTGGAGGCCCCCCGCTGCTCCGCCAACGGCGTCAGCTTCGGGGTCGGCCTGGTCTGCGGGGAGACGACGCGAGGAAGGTGGAGCTTGGGGGCGCGCAGTTGTTGGGCAGCTTGAGGGCCCTGGAGCCCATTGCCCTTGAGGGGGGCCCATGTCGGTCGAGCGCCCCGCCGACCCCGGCTGCGCGCCCTCTCCGCCGATCTATATCGCGAAGGAGCTGATGGACTGGGAGGCCGAGGTTGCAGCCTGCCGGGTGACCTTCCCGCAGTGCATGCGGGGCTGCCCCGCGCTCAAGATGACGGCGCCCACGGGGGCGGCCTGCGCGACGCAGCGGTTCGAGCGCCCATGCGAGCACTTGCGGCGCGGCGCGAGCCTCTGTGGGAAGGATGCCAGTGGCCGTTTTCGGGCGAGAGCGTCGCAGGCCCACCCGTCGGAGTTCTGCCGCATGCTGGCGGAGTGCCGCGCGGATGCGACGCTGGCCACGCAGGAGAGACGGGAGGCCGACCTGGCCGAGAGGGCGCTGGAGCAGCTGATTTCGGAGACTCTGGACCGCCGGCGTCGGGGCCTGTCTTCGCTAGTGGCGCTGCCGACGTCGTTCTTCGTGGCTGCCGCGCGATCAAGTCAGCCCCCCCTCGGGCCGATGGAGCCCTCGCAGAGGGCTCGGGCACGTGCGGAAGAAGTTCGGGGTCAGATGCTGGCAGGGGGCGAGTATTGCCTCTTCGTTGGGCGCGTGTCTCGGGGGCCGCAGGCCCCCTCGGCCTGCGCCCGCGTCCGCCGATCGTGGCGGTGCGAGGCCGGCCGCGCCAGGGGGGCCTGGGCGCTGCGCTGCGTGCTCGGTCTGGCGGGCGCCCGCGATCTGGACGGCGCCGCCAATGCAGGCGGGCGCGGTCGCAGAGGAGAAACTTCGCCATCACGCTCAGCACCGCAAGATGGGCAACACGCACCGTAGGCACGATTCAGAACGCGCGAGGTCTTCGGGAGTGCCGCGGCAGGAGGGGCCGACCCGAGGTCTCGCATTGCCCCCGTTCTCGGTCTCCACCGCGACGGCGCTGAGTTGCTACATGCACAATGCACGGCGTTTCCTGGGCCTTGCCCTGGAGCGGCACCTGCCGATGATGAGCCGTGAGGAGATTGACGTCTCGGTCCTTTGCTACCTGGACTGCCTGGAGGAGGACGAGGAGGTGGGTCCGCATGTCCGCATCGGGGTGACTATGTGGTGCACGGTCTCGCCTTCGCGTGGCCAGAGCTGCCCGCGGGACTGCCGAGGTCAAATCGAGCCCTACGCGCCTGGCGTCGACTACGCGCGGCAGGAGAAGGTGGGCCGCAACCGCTCGAGTTGTGGGCCGTGCTGGACGAAGCCATGAGGGGGGCCGGGAACCGCGAGTCTGCCGACGCCGCCGAGGTGGCCCTCGACCCCTACCATAGGTCCGCGGAGCCGCTCGGCCCGCGAGCCGCGGACGTCGCGGTCGACGTCGACGCGGCCGGCGAGCAGGTCGCGGCCCTTCGGCGCGGAGCGCCCAAGCGCGGCGAGCGGACGAAGACCGGCACGAGGCAGGGCGCGCCGATTGTTCACGCGCACGCGGCCGGCATGCTCGCGCGGAGGAAGGCCGAGAGGGCGCCGGCGGACCCGGTCTTCGCCTGCTCGGTGGACGCCTAACGCCGCGCCCTGAGGCGGGCCTGCGACGACGTCGGCGTCGAGCGCTTCCCACCGCACGCTGCCAGGCACTCGGGGCCGAGCCATGATGCGGCGACCGGCCACAGGGCGGCGCGGGCCATTCAGCGGCGCGGGCGATGGGCGAGTGAGATGAGCGTGCTCAGGCACATGAAGACGTACGCCATGGTGGCTGCTTGCGCCGCACCCCCGTCCGACGCGATCGAGCGGGGCGCCAGCTTGACGATGAAGAAGGGCGCCCGCGCGCTGACGGCCAGAGACAAGTTTGAGTTCAAATGATCGACGCCAACAGTTCGATCAGTCTCGATACGTTTGGCCGGCCACTGTGCGCGGAGGCGTCGCGCCCTCCTGCCCGGCCGCCGGTTCGTCCGAGGCCGGCGCAGGGCGGGCCGCGCGCACCTTGCGCCCACGCTGCGCCGTTACTTGTTCTTCGGCCGTCGGTGAACTCGCGAGCCCCAAGGGCGGCGTCTGGAGGCCCTGCGCGCCCCTCCCAACCAGACCCCAGCGCCTTCGACAGCCAGTCGCTTTAGCCAGTCAAGCGGTGGGTTGGGACCACGACTTCGATTTATAGGCAGGCCCCCTGACCACCAAAACTGGTTTTCGCGAATAACGAAACGGAGGTCCCCCCCATAGTATTGAAATCAAGCGAAATCTCGTTTAGAAAATTGGCGTTTCAAACTGACCTTTGCGCGTCGCCAGATGAGCTCGCATCGCGATTCGCTTTGTGCAAAGCATGCTTTTGCTAGATCCGCGCACGCACTTACCAGCCCGCCAAGACAATTCAAACCCAAAGGCGTTGCTTTTTTAGTTCTGTCTCGTTCTTGCGCTGCCTGAGCCATGGCATCTGCCATGCATCATTCAAAGGCTTCTGGAGATCATGCTGCGCTGTGCTCCATAGCCTTCGGATTAACACGTTTCATGACTGTAATAGATGTCAACCAAAACATCGAGAATTCAGGCGCTCGGCTGTCCGACTCCCCCCCGCCCGCCCCCCAAAGCTTTGCAACCGCCATGTGTTGCCAGGTTCGGTTATTTCGGCCACCCCTGAGTGAAAGTGGTTTTGCGTGGTGATGTGGGCACATATCCCCGCTGAATCTGAAACTCGCACGGGTCTCTCAAGCTCCGAGAATATTTCAAGGCGGTGGCGCGGGGGGAATGGAGACATGGTGGAGCTAGAAGAGGGTGGAACTTAAAGGGGTCGTGGGGTATGTAGACGTATTCAGTCGAGCGTGTTGTGGCCACGTGATATGTCATGTGGCGCGCCCAGTGGCCTGCGTGCTCGGGTCGGCGAGTCATCATCAGTACGTGTGTCCTCCTGTAGGGAACCCCGACTCATCCCTATACCATATACCCAAAACAGCTATATGTCGGTTGATGGCCTTGGGGTCGCTCTGGGCCCTTGTCAGCCGACCGTGCCGTCATGCTGTTTGGGGTCTTCTGCGACTGACGGCGACCTTGACGGTCTTGGGACTTATTCTGCGTTCCTGGTCTTGCGCTGGTCGCACCACTGTTTTCAGTGACGGCGCGGGGCCCGCCCCATCTGTTGGCGTCGTTTGTCTTCGCCCCGTGCCATAGCCGCTTGAGCTTTCCATGTTCCATATTCGCGCACGCTTACATGCGCGACGAATTTCGCCCACCGTCCCCCAGAGTTAGAAAACGCAAGCGGTTTGAACTTGAGTTGCCGTGTGTTTTCGTTGCCTGGGCCTCAGATATGAAAAGGAACCTTGCGTGTTCTTGCGACGCTTTGGTTCGGTGGCGAACTCCTGGATTTGACATCGGATTCAATCTGAGCTCATGCATATCAAGTGAATGCGTGGCAGAATTCGTGGCGACTCAAACTTAACTCAAGTGGAGACGACAAGTCAGTGTCCATCGAGAGTACTGCTCCGCTGCGTGATCCAGTTGAGATGACAGACCCGCAATGGGTGAAGCCTCCGAGATTCGGCTTGTCGCCTTTGACACATTCAGGGCGGGATCACTTATCGGGTTTGGGATATCCTGTAATGGATGAGATTATGCAGTCCCGTCCTGACCACCAACCGATCTACACAATGGAGCTGCCGTGGGCGATTTTGAAACCAGTGGCGAAGGGCAAAGTCGGATGCCGAACGCTTGTCGTCCCAGCACGTTTCGCGCCATCGATTGACTTCGAACTGGCATGCTCGGGGGACGTCGTCGGGGGCTTCGTCGCCCCGGCCGCCCTTGCCGCGAGCGTCGAGGATACGGATCGCAAGATGATGTGGTACGAAATTGGCAGAGAGATTTGAAATTAGATGGCACGCATGATCATTGGGGGCCCTCGTTCCACAAACTGGCGGTAAAATTGGCGCACATGCTGGCAGCGATGAATGATACCCAGCAGCGCGTCGAGACTGGCTGATATGGACATCCCATGGAGATGCCACTTGGGGAGTTTGTCAGGTTGAACGAACATGGCGAAGCTGGACGCGCTCACGATACTGCAACAACGAATGTGGCACAACGACACGAAAGACAAGACATCAATCAGCATCCTTATCGATTCAAGCCCTGAGGGTTGTTACGATCTCTTCAACGCCATTGTAGATTTCTTCGTGCAGACCGCGCCCGTATCCGAGCTGCATCTTGACCCACTCGGTGGTTTTACTTTCATTCGTCGTCGCCTGCTTGTTTCGACGCTGGGCTACACCAGTACGGCATCGAAGCTCACGAAGCTCGCGACAATGATCATTGGAGACCAGGGAAGCAAACTTCATGCGATTCAGAGAGGGCGCGAAGAGCCTTACATCAGATCAGGGCGTAGAGAAGCGCGCGGCGAGCGCGCCCTTTTGGGGGGTCCGATGAGTTGCGCCAAAGTCTTGCAGATCTAAAGGGTAAGAGGGTGACGTTTTCAGATCCTGGTTGTCAGAGGCTGCATGTCCTCATGAATGCGATGGAAGTCCCTGGCCATGTACATATTTTGCTCCAATGCCGTTGAAGAGGTGATCGTTGAGATTCCAGAGCGGGCGCAGTTCGAACCTTTACTTAAGGCCGTCACGGCCGCATTCAGGCACAAGAAGGACCAACTCTTGGCAACGACTTTCAAGCGCGCGCCTTCACGCGCCAGGGAGGTCGCGCACGAGTTCAGCGGGCAGCACGTCGACTGGCGATGGGAGCATTTGGAAGAGACTTTTACACAGCACCAACATGGCTTGGTCATGAGATTGCGAGCATTTCGATCCATCATATATGAACAGATCGACAGAGAGGAATGCCCGCTGTCGCAAGGCCATCGCGCAGAAGGAATGGTTCAACGCCATGTCTTTTACCGTTCATGTCTCCCTGATGGCGGCGGGCAGCGGAATTTCGTGGATGGAGGGCTGCGCCTGCCGCGAACATGTGATCGTCGACGCCAGCCGCCGCAAGGCTCGCCGCAAGTTGTTGAGGAAAACTCTGGCCGACACGGCTTTATGCTGCCCCTGGATTGGCATGCGAGGCGTGTATTTCGCCTTGGGTCATTGCGCTGGCATGTTCGAGAGGGTTCGCGCAGCCGCCACGCAGTCTTTCCATGAGATGCTTCTTCGCGTCGACGACGCCACAGCGGGCAGGATGATGCAGATCAAGACAAACATCATTAAGCGGCGGTGCAGCATGGCCGGGGACAAGCTGGGCTCCTGGAGCCACGTGCCGCACGAGATAGTCGGCGCGTTCGGCTACGTCGCGGACATGGGGAGATGGCACTGCGGGGGGGCGCCTACTTCCCTTGTCCTACCCTTGTCGGTTTTTGGAATGCGTTTTAATGAGGTTTGCGCGTTTCGGCCTCAAGTGCTTGTCCCAGGAACCCGTTTGTTACGGTGCGTTTGTTCTGCGGTGGGGCGCCGTGGGGGCATCGCATGCAGCAGAAAGATTGCGTTTTCAACGATGGGGGTTTGCGAGAGTTCGGGGGAAGTTGCTGGTCGTAAGGCGCGTGCGGGAGTGCTTCCTGGAGTGGGATGATATCGAGAGCAGGCATTTCGCAGACCAAGCGTGCTGCTTGCTCTCCGATCGTTCGTCGACGGTGGCCGTGCAATTGAAATCGTTTGGGGCTTCCCTCGCAGAGGATCGACGCAGACTTCATGACTACCCTGAGGCAGTCTGTGGAATTCGAGGTCGGGCATTGGCGAATTGCGTCGGTCGGGTCAACGAGGCTGAGCACCAGCAGACGAGGGGCGCGGTTACCCGAGACTTCACCCACGCGAAGCCTGCTTTCGCGCGCGCGGCAGCGCGAGTTGCAGACCCTGGCCACCCTGGACGACCCGACAGCGATGCAGCATTGACCCGACCAAGACCACTGGAAGAAAGTTTTGGCTCATGTATTACAGGGGGACGAGGTCTCCCGTCTCACTCTGGCGCAGAGGCACGAGAAGGTGGGCGCGTTGATGAACAGGGGATGTCTTGGAGATTATGGGCATGCCGCGCCCTCCTTCGGCATGCCCCCTTCCCCATGGCGCCCTCCATGTATCAACCAGCTTGCCTTCTCGTGTATCTTGGCAATGTCTACCAGTTGAGTGCCGATGATCAGTATGGAGACGTTCCAGTTTTACAGGGTTCGGTCGGGGCTTGGGTGGCCCATGACAAGGCTGCTCATCGCGCTGGCGGTACTCGCGTGTCTCCAGGGTCTCGCCTCGCGACCACGTGCTTCAAGAATGCCTTGGACAGGGGGGTGCGTCCTGAGTATGCCGCAGGCCGTCTGGGATGCAGGATCAAAGTTTGTTGGCGAGCTGCATGCTGGACCTACATATTCTGATATTGTTGATAGTCTGCTTGGCCCAGACACGGAACCCGACTACTCGCGGCAGCAAGTGTTTTTTTTTTCGAAGTTGTCGACGCAAGGTTTGTGTCTAAGCAGCAGTTGAGAATTGGACACATTGTAAAGCATTTGGCAACTATCAACTCTCAGGCGTTCAGGGTCATTCGATGGTTCGATGATCCAGCAGTGCCGCTGCGCGCCGCGCCTGGCATCGCGCGCTTTGATCTCCAGCGTTTGAACAGCGCAGGCCGCCTCAGGGAGTTCATGGAGCACTTCGCCAAGTGGAACATCGGCGAGCCCAGTCGCAGGCTCGATTTCATTTCTTTGCCAGCGCCCAGAGATCCAGGGGGTCGCCCTATTCTTCGCCCTGAAGTCCCCGACGAAGAGGTCGCGATCGCGCGTGTCAGTGACGACGCGTACGAGCCGACCTCCCCGACCCCTGGGGCTTGCCATGTTGTGCAGCAGCTGGTTGACATGAAGGCTTTCTCTGTGTGCGACGCTCACG